CTGGGGTCCAGGACCCCAGATCTAGTCCCACCTTCTGTCATGTCTGCACCTGTGACCACACCCAAACAGATACGGTCAGTGCTATAGGTGTGGACGGGTTGGATATCTCACTACAATTCCCCTTTTACTCTAAAGAAAAGGATTTAGGCTTCATAGGAAACTATATACAAAGACAGAAAATATAAAGTGTGCTTTAGGAGAAGGAAAGGTAACAACAAACACACTTAAGACCTATTGCCAGTGAAGCAACTAGAGAAAATGGCAAGAGCTTTTTATCCCATCCTAGGGTGAAGGCATTAGCGAGATTGCTATAGAGTTGTTCTAAGCTGGAAAGTTTAAGTCTTGTACCTAATATTTCTATCTAGGAAGAGAGAAAAGTAATTGTGACAGTCTAATCTTTAACCTCATCAAAGACCTGAGAAGGAGGATAACAATACTAGGGTAGGCAGGAAGTGCAGGCAAGCAGCTTCCAAAAGGTTCAGTGAAGACATAAACAGCAGGCTACCTGGACAGTCACCCAAAGTCTCACAGCAGCGTGGGGGCAGCCAGCTTTAGCTAAGGTCTAGAGTATCAGACTGACCAATACAGAAGCAGGGAGGTAGAAAGGCTGTCTTACCCTGACTTGCCAAGGTTCAGCAGTCTTCTAAGTCTATCCTCTGCAAACACAGTAAGACAGCATGTCCAAAGTCAGCGGTCAATGTGGGGGCAGTTCTTTGCCCAAGAGGTTATTGGGAGAGAACAGACTCTAGAAGGAGTGTCAACAGTGCCTAACATCTTTCCAGGAAAGCTTGGTGCTGTCAGGAGCAATTGTGTCTCATATCAGTGGAGTACTATTATTAAAACATTTAATGCCATATCCTGCAGGTCTATGAAGTGTTTGAAGATCAAATATCTATGTCTGACTAATCTCATAGATAAGAAACATGGGTGGTAAAAGTCGGTAATTCTCAGAAACAGAGTTGTACAAAGGCTGAAGCTTCCCAAATAATTTACCAAGGATAATGACTTCAAAAAATGTAGTTATGTATATATATATATATATATATATATATATAATTCTCGCTAACAGAGATAGAGCTGAAATGTCTTGACTAGAGGTAGAACTGTAAAGTGCAATATGATAAAATAACCTAAGTTGTATCAATATACAAAATGTATATATATATATATATATATCAAGATAGTTTCATATTTGTGTGCAAAAACGCCATAAACAGAAAGAAGAGCCTAAACAGCATACAATAATCTAACAATTTAAGTTATCTGTTGCTACATTTAGTTCACTAGAAAACATGTCGGTTCACCTATATCCCACCTTAACCATACCTTTCCCATCCATTCCCTTAAATTTATCTTAAAGAGATACCTGAGTCTGAGTATCACCTTCCATACCCAACCCTAAACAACTGAAACCAACCCTAGGTAGGTGAGTACTATCCCTTAAAGGCAACAGTAGGAAAAAAGGGCGTTGTTTTCTTAGGATTACTTCCTGCTGAAATGGTACAACAAACTCCATGGGATCCTGTAGGAAAAAAATCAGAGCAACAAAAAGTCTAGAGAGGACTAGTGGTAACATTTGTAGCGAGTCTCTGTGTGGCGGGAGATGCTTGACTGAAGTTCTTATCTGAAGCTCTGGCCAGGGTGTAATAAGAAGGTGCACGGTTTCCCGCTAGCTGGTCTGGAGTTGTCTCGAGCTTTATTGTCCCAAACCAGTTTAAGGCGGTGTTTGTTAGTTAAGAGGCATCAAGTGGAATCCAGTGGGGACAAATTTTCTTTCCAGAATTCAAAGATTGCTATTAGGAAAATTTTTGTTTGCTGTGAAGGACTTAAACATTAATATCAGCACAGAAAGTTTAACTTCCATAGGTGAACACACAGGGAAAGGGAACAATAAGGATGAAATTAAGAATGAGGAAAATTAGTATTTTACAGAATACAGAGTTAAGACAATAGTAGTCATAGATTTTGTTTTCTTTTGTCTTACACCAATGGCCTTTTGATATGAGACAGAAACTCTGAATTTTATTTAAACAACAGATTTCAACTTGGAGGGGGATGGCCAAGTCCAACTCCAAAGACAGGGTTGATTTTTATGTGAATAGGGACTATGATAGTGCTGAGCAGGGAAAAATAATACAAAAATGTAGTATAAATATTTTACCATACGTCTGACTCTTCTTTGTATGATGATTCTTTCCTGATAGCTACTGAATAGCTATTCTCTCTTCTTTGCCAGACGCAGCAGCATGGATAATTATTCATGGGACAAGGTTCAAATATTAGATATAATTTATTTTGGGGAGAAGTCACTTATACAAGAAGAGGGTGACTGTTGCAGGTTCTAGCTCCAAGAATCCACCCAGGCTGTCTTCTGTGACCCGCTGGAAGCCAGAGAGGACACTGAGGTCCGGGACCTCAGATCTAGTCCTACCCTTCATCAGGTCCAAACAGGCGTGGTCAGTGCTACAGGTGTGGGCAGGATGGATATCTGAATATATTCACATATATTGATATCAATACACACACATATATATATATATATATACTCTTAGTCTTAGTATAGGACACCCATCCCTATATGAAATATTTGTTGAATATTCCTTATTGAATATCTATTTCAGTGATTAATCTTCCTTTCCAATGTGTCTAATTGTAGAGGTGTTCAAGCTATTCTGACAGACAGCAAAGGCTTTCAGTACTTCAAAAGTCTGTACTTTTCCATGAACTTTATCTTTCCTTGAAGAGTTAGTTTAATGGTAAAGTCTCCACATCTGTTTTATTTTTATCTTCTACTTCCCTAGAAAGAAAACCCTGATGTTGGGTTGTGGCAATGAACCAAAAAAATATGGTTATTAGAAATGAAAGCTGGCCGGGCAGTGGTGGCGCACGCCTTTAATCCCAGCACTTGGGAGGCAGAGGCAGGCAGATCTCTGTGAGTTCGAGGCTGGGCTGGACCGACAGCCTCCAAAACAATACAGAGAAATTCTGTCTCATAAAAACCGAAAAGAAAAAAAAAAAAAAAGAAAAAAAGAAATGAAGGCTGAAGAAAGGGACTGGTGAGTCACCCAAATGAGACAGCAGCAGGAACAACATTAGCTACTGACAGTCAATGGGAAAGAACTATGCTGATACATAACAATGATGTCATGAAAGCAACTATAGATCCCAGGGATCGTCATGCTCACTGTAATCTGCCCTAGCTAGGGTTTCTATTGCTGAGAAGAATAGCAACTCCTATAAAGGAAGACATTTAATTGGGAATGGCTTACAGATTAAGAGGCTAAGTCATGGTGGGAAACATGGCAGCAGGCAGGGAAACATAGTACTGGAGAAGGAGCTGAGAGTTCTACCCCTCGATCCACAGGCAGCAGCAGGTGACTGTCATGCTAGGCCGAGTTTCAGCATCTAAGACATTAAAGCCCACCTCCACAGTGACACACTTCCTACAACAAGGCCACACCTACTCCAACAAGGCTGCACCTCCTAATAGCGCCACTCGCCAATGGGTCAATGAGTCTATGGGGCTATCCATATTCAAACCACCACACAATTAAATCAAAATTTAAATTAGTTTTCTCCCTGAATTATCACTTTTAAAATACATATGAAACATTGAAGATACCAAAGAATAAATGCAGTGTTACATTGCTTGTGTCACAATACATGAATTCAAATTAGAGCTTTATGTCTAAGAAAGCATTACTGCAGGATTATAACCCCTTACCACAGAAACCTCTTGCAATCAATGACAATAAACACAGAGACCCACAACTGATCAATGAGCAGAAAACAAAGGGCTGACTTCCCGACCCCAAGGACCATTGCAGAAGAGGGAGCAGAAGAGCTGTGAGGCCAGAGGCAGTGGATGACTGCAGCAGAGCAGGGGTCTTGGACCCAACAGGGCAGCTGCACAAATGAGCCGAGAGAGACTGTGACTGAATGAACAAGACCACGCCACACAAGATCCCAGCTTGGAAAATGAAGGAAATTCCACCTCTCGCTGAGGAACTATGGGAGCTGGTGGCTGCTGAGAGAGACTCAGTAATCATCAGAATTGGGGCCCCTAAATGGCACTACCTAAGCTCCAGGAGATGGTGCTGTGTCCACGCACAACTAGAAGCTCCAAGAAAAGGATGAAAAAGAGGAGGAGGAAGAGTAGGAGGATAGGGAAGAGAAAACCCAGTGAAATTGAGATGGCACAGTGGTGTCTCAAAGGATTAATGTTAGAGGGTTTCACTTCCCTGGTGGGATTTAGTCTGAGAGATGTTTCCAGAGGGTATTATGAATGGGGTTAACTTCCTGGTTTCTTCCTGGTATGTTTGTCTGTGTTATACAGTCAGGGTAATTGTTTTTCTGTGACCTATTTGATATCATTGTACATGATCTCACTCATATTTAGAACCCAAAATGGTTAAAACTCATAGAAGCCTAGAGTAGATCTAAGTAAGGTACTAGAGGTCAGGAGAGACTGAAGCAGGATTAACTGGGCAATATACATCAAAGCAGACTAAGTCACAATACCACAGGAGCCTGATTCTCTGACTTTCTACTGGGCAGCATGCTGCTATACATACAGAGAATACCGTATGCTGGAGATAAGTAGAGGGACAGATTAGGGTTTGTCTAAACACTGTGCAGTGTACACATGTATACTGCGAAATTTTTGACAGCATGCTCATTTGCATAATTTTATGGTGCAAAGTATCAACATAAAAAGACTGGAAATTTTTGAAAAGACACAGAATTAAGAAATCACAACTGTATCATACAGCTAATTGAATAGGATTCAAAATAATTTAATTGCATATAATTATTTGTACTATAAGAAAATAAAAAACTGCAAATTTTAACTCACATAACTTAAATTATATAAATAGTAAGATGAAAACACACATAAATAACCAAATGGATGCATAAACAAGTGCCTTTGCATATATATAAAATTTCCTGTTTTGCTGAAACATCTAGGCACTCTTTGAACTCATGTTAAAATAAATGATAGTTTTTAAAGGAGAATTTATGCACCGAGGCACAACGTCCTAGCTCAGGAGAATCCTCTCCATTTTTGCTCCAGGCTTACTCCTTCTCCTCAATCAATCTTTCTAGCAACTTTGTTGAGGAATCCAAGGCTCTCCAGACTTCTGCTCTGACCACCTTCCAGGCACAGGGGCTGTGTTTCTTCGCTCTCAGGTAGGCAGTGATCCTGTAGAAGTAGTTCTTCACAGGCAACTCCCAGTCTTGCATCCACACCTGATGCATCAGACAGGCTTGCAGGTTATTGAACTGCTGGCGGAGGCTACCATGGAGTGTTTCTAGGTGAGCTGTCTCCCAAGGAGCAGATGAATCACTTGAATTGAAGAGGATCAGGACCTGCTGGGTCACCTCTTGCAGGACAAAGATGGCTTGAGCCTTCTGGATCTGCTGGACATCCACCTTCTCCAGAGGGAATGCAAAGTACCTTCTGTCTTTCAGGCAGGAGAGAGGGGAAAGTCTCATTTCTTCCAGGAGTGTCAAGACTGTATTGTTCCTGAGGTTAGGAGCCTGAGGCAGGTCACATCCCAGACAGCAGGTCGACCAGTAGCTCATCACCACCAGGGCCATCAGAAAAGCACAGGGTCTAGCCATTGTGGATGCTGCAGATGCTGCTGGTCCTCTGGGCTGTGTGGTCCTGAAGCTTCCCCTCTAGGTTCTCTGAGGTCCATGCTGTGAACATCTATCTTAAATAGGAAAAACACTATTTTCCATTTTCTGAATGCCCTCCCCTCACTTTCCAGTGTCTTTTCAACTTGATTAGCTCATTCCCTGTTTCTGAGAATTTTTTTCTAGACAGTTTTGGTTTTCACCTTTGCTTCCTCTTTCTGTGCTCCCCTCAGAAAGTGGGTTCACAGTTTTTCTTCTTGTAACTGGAATTGTCATTAACTCTTACACCACAGATGATCCTAGTTTTCCTGTTTACACACTACGTGTAAAGAAAAAATTTTCTCTAAGACTTGTATTTGAAAGTATTGAAATGCACATTACCATAATTTTGTTTTATAATGTACAAACATATATATAACATATATAAATAAACATTATCCAATGATTGTCATGCCATCATGAGAACTCGGTGTGTAAAGCTTGCTGCTCAAGCCTGCTGAGCTGAGTTTGATTCCTGGAACACATGCTTGAAATACAGGAGCCGACTCTTGTAAGTTGGACTCTGATTACTACATACACACTTGGCAAGCTTGTTCCTACACACACACACTCAATGCATGCATGCACACACAGCACCCACACACCATGATACACATACACACTCACACACGTGCCCACACTCATTCATTCATTAGCATGGATACACACAGACACACCGAATCATATACACATGCACACAAACATACAAACATAGATACACAAATCATCACGCACTCACATGCACACAAACATGCATACACTCACTAACACACACAGATACACACACTCACACAAATGCACACACCGTTATTTAATTCCTTTAATATGAATGTATTCATTTGAAAAGACAGTATTTAGGCCTTAACTTCATTGCTCACTTTAAGTGGAACGTGATGGCTCAGGGCCTCTTGGGCTTCTATACCTGGGCAGTGATTGGGCAGAGCCTTCATAGCACAGAGTCTCATCACAATGGAGATCCAGATGGTGCTTTTCCTGTTTGTTCCCATAGGTGACTCATTGCAGGCAAAGGGGTTCCCTGACATTTCTCCCTCTCAGGAATGAATTCCCTCTGGACACAAGGCTGTGCTTCCCTGCTCCCTTAAAGTCAGGATCAGTGTTGACCCCCTCCTTTCTGCCTACCCTATTTGCAATGAGGACTACAGTGTTCTTCACCCTGGGACAACCAACCAGGCCCTAGGTGCTGGTTCCTCCTTGGTGTGTATGTGTGTGCAGAGTCTGATTCCAGGACAGTGTTACTTCTCCAGTACCAGTGGGACTTACTCAGAAGCCCTCAAGTTCATTAGCACTCTCTGCTGCACAGTGACATCACATCCTCCCTCTTGTACCTTACTCCATGAGAGTGTGCTTACAAGGATGAATTCAGTACTCATATGGGAATCATGTCTTCTTGGTTTCAGTTTCATAAATCCTAGGTTACTGCTTTTATTTCTAGTTGTTTATGTGAAGGACATTTGTTTTCAGTTAAACCCACAGAATTTGAGAATAGAATAATAGGAGTAGGTCAGGGAAATCAGAGGCAAGTAAGTCTGGGGTGTCGTTGGCTAAAGACTAAGTCACAATTTGAAAGGAACAAGATGTTCTGGCTTAACTACTGCACAGTGTGCTGCTTATATACGGGAAAGTGCTCTCTACTGGAGAAATGTAATGATTCAAGTTTAATTATCAATGAATGAGAAGTGTGACAATAGAGTCCTTGAATTTGTGATTCTGTCTATAATACAATTTCTCCTCCATTACTAGAATACAGCTTTGTAGCATTGATCCTTGTGGTGGAGAAGTGAACCTTCTTACCTCACTGAATGATCTTCACTGAGGAGATGGGGCTGTTTGGAGCCTGTTTGGAAAGCCCAACATACCTGCAAAGAGCTATGTGACTCTAGGGAAGCTGGTTCACTTTTCTGAAGTTCAGCTTCTTCATTGTGACCCCAGGGTAATCATTCCAAAATTTTGGCAGCGATTATATTTTGCAGATGACATCAGTGGTGGAAAAGGGAAGGAGAAATAGATGAAACCAAAGCAAATGCCTCCAACTTCTAGAATGTTCTCTGTGCTCCAGAAACTGTTGTTTTATAATTGATCACTTGGAACAGATTCATTCCTCAACCTTAGTGTTGAGTTTTTATTATTCATTCGTCCATCTATCCACCCACACATACATACATACATACATACATACATACATACATGCATATATGCATGCATCTATTTGAGATATTCTCACAACCTAGGCTGTCCTTGAACTTGATTTTTAGCTTTAGATAACCTTAAGCTTCTTCTCCTGTTGCTGCGTCCCCTGTGCTGATATTTCAGGAGTGATTCCATGGCCGGTTGATGATTCTGTTAGGGAAGGAATCCAGAACTTCCCACATGCTAGGTGAATGTGCTTCCAAAGGAACCACACTCCTCCTTCTGGTTGAGCATTCATAGGCTCTGTCCTGAAAACAGAATCTCAATAAATAACAGCCATCAGTCCCAGGCAGGCTCTCGGTTCAGCAGAGGAGGCACAGGCTGACACCTCAGGCAACAGGAAATTAACCCCCGTGCTCTGAACAAAGTAGAGGGGGCATTATTTACATTCAATCCTGGGCACTTCATGTTCTCCTCCCTAGCAAATAGCATTTTGCTTGGAATTCCAGGTAGCTGTCCTCTCCATTTGCTCCCCAAGAAGGAGATGCAGCAAGGAGGCTTCAGGTGTGTGGCTACAGTTCCTCACAGTAAGATAAACAGGTGACATAGGGGAAGAAAGAAGCCACATGAGGTACCTGGTGGATCCAGGCGCCACACCTGAAACTGTCTGGCAATCCCGGGAGGCTGCAAGCATACACCTCAGATCTTTCCCAACCAGGAGTCGTGCAGACCCGATGCTCACCGCAGCCCTCAGGTTCACATCTAAGGAATACACCCTAACAGTTACTCAATACTCTGCCCCATGCCAGGACTCAAGTGTCCCAGAGACATAGTGGCCATGTCTGTCCCATAGCGGATCCTTCATTGGTTTAATGAGGCTGATGCTGTCTGTGGGATCGTGAGGGTAAATCTGTGAATCACCCTCTTGGGGGTCTGAGGATGGAGCTGGAAGGCAGTGGCAATGGATTCTAGCTGAAATAGATCCAAAGGCATTGAATTGGCTGATCAACTCAGGAAGGAGTCGCCTGTGTCTCCAAGATCAGGACACAGCTAATACCCATCTGAATCCTGCCCTGGCTGCCAAAGGGACACTCCACACTGTATGAGAGAGAGAGAGCTCTGTGGTTGATCAGTAATGTCTGTCACAGATATAGGTTAGGAGAATGTTAACATACTTTTCCCTGTCCCTTAAGATATACCTCCCTAAAGAATTCTCTTTGAAATTCCTAATGGAGACAGGGTGACTCACTTGGAAATTTGTGCATGTCCTTACTTCCCAGGCTGGACTCGTCAAATTGCACCAGCTTTGCTCCAGTTTTAGTCAGATTTTGGTTCCATTCCCTAAGTACTTTCGCTCTGTTGGTAATGTTCCCAAGAACCACCATCCTTGGACCATGGTTTCCAGGGAGGTGAGGACACAGCCTGGCTTAGATGGCCACATGGCATCTATAAGAGGCAGGTAATGTCTTTGCCTGAGTTGCCATCAGATACATAAGCTCCAATACTCTACTGTCCATCAGAGCCAGACTTCTCCAGACCCACCTCCAGATGGAAGGAGGGCAAGGGAGAGATATCTTACATAGAGGAGTTGTAAGTGGTAAAGATAGATAGTACAGCTTGAAATCTGGGATGGTGATGTCTTCAAAAGTTTATTGTTCAGGATTGTTTTAGCTATCCTTGGTTTCTTTTTCCATATGATGTTGAGTATAGTCCTTTCAAGATAAGTAAAGCAATGTGTTGGCATTTGATGGTTATTGAGTTGAATATGTAGATAACTTGTTCTAATTGTCATTTTTATTATGTTAATTCTACTGATCCATGAGCATGGGAGATCTTTCTGTTTTCTGATACCTTATTTATGTCTTTGAAAACTCAAAATTTTGGTCATGCATGTCTTTTCTCTTGCTTGATTACAGCACCTCTAGATAGTGTATAATTTTTGTGACTATTGTAAAGGATTTTTTTCAATGATTTCTTTCTCAGTCCATTTGTCACTAGTATTTAGAAGTGCTACCGATCCCCTTTTTTTTTTAAGTTAATCTAGTTTATCAGCTGTAGATACTCATTTCTGAATCTGTTTATCTCCTTGAACATTAGACAAGGTATGAACTAGTCATAACCGGATTGGACCAGTCTGAGCCAGTTAGAACCAGATTAGAACAGAATTGAACCAGTTGGAGCCAGTCAGAACCAGTCAGGACCAGGCTGAACCACATGATGATGAAGAGGATGATTATCATGAAGAGGATGATTATGAGCATGAGGATGATGATGAGGATGAGAATGATGAGGATGAGGATGAGATTGATGAAGATGATGATGAGGATGATGATAAGGATAGGATGATGAGGAGGAGGATGAAGATGATGTTGAGGAGGAGGAGAAAGAGGAGGATGAAGATGATAGAATGAGGCAAGATAACACACAACTAAGATTCCATCTTGTGAAAAGGAATTAAAGAAAATCTTAGAGCTGGGTGTGGTGGGGTACACCTTTAATCCCAACACTCCAGAAGCAGAGGCCGAAAGATCTCTGAGTTTTAGGTCAGCTAGGTCTACAGATCCAGTTTCAGGACAACCAAAATTAGAATTAATGGAAAGCAGCAAGGTGGTAAAGATGTAATTGAATGAGGAGTCCAAGTTCCAGAACCATTAATTAGAAGAACTTTGCAGCGTTGATCAAATGGTCCTGTCTTTAGAATCAAGGATAGAAGAAAAGAGTTATGAAATCTTCCTACTCCTCTAAGGAAAGCTAATGTGACCAGGAATGTGTCAGGGGTATCTCTGAATGGAGGCCTAGAGGCGTCATTGTTTGA